TAAAAAAAAATCAAAAAAAAAATCCCGATCCCCGATTTTTTTCTCCCGATTCCGATCTTTTGAAAATCACGTGATCGGCTCCGATCCCCGATCACGTGATCGGATCGGGACATCTCTAGTATTCATGTTTCTGTGGTCTTAATTTTAACGTTTGTTCTTTCTTGTGAAGCACTTTGGGAATTCTGTGAAAGGTGCTATACGAAATAAACGTATTATTATTATTTCTACATGCACATATCTGTATATCTCTGTGAAGCAGTTTCATTGACCTCTTTTTTATCGTTATGACAATGGAAAAAGCCAAACAAATCCTAAAAAGGTTCCCACTTTATCATTCAAACTTGGTATTTGTATTTCCTTATGCGTATATATTTATGTACTGTGAAGCGCTTTGACTCAAAACCTGTTAGATTTAAAAACATTTTATGAATTATATATTTTCTTTAAACTGTATCGGGTAAAATACTATTTTTGTATATTATTTCATATTGTAAGTTGTACAAAATTCCAAATTTCAACACCTATCTTACCATTAATAAAGTGGATTATTTCCGTGGATGAAGCGCTCATACACACTGTATTTTTCAGGTTGGTGTTCTGTGTAAAAGACCCTGGAGCTCCGAAATTAACACAAGAGGTCACGTTTGTTAAATGTAAGGATGCATGGAGAACGAACCCGAAGAGAGCTCCAAAAAGGTAAATAACACTGCAGTTTCCTCAATTAATATAACATTTTCATTCATGCTTTTAAATAACAATACTCTTGTCTTTGTCCGTAGAATAACTCTGGAGAAACACTGACGTCACCGCAGAATCCACAGAACAAGCACTTATAATAATTTATACACATATAACTTATTTTTATTCTCAAATGGTTCAAAGCTCGTTTGTTATTTAAAAACCCTATGTGTGTGAATACTGTAAAAATATTTTGTATAGAGCTATTTTTATGACACATAACTGTAACTTACTTTATAAAAAGTAAACGCCTTTGTCTTTGGTTCAAAGAGATTCTCGTATACGGAGAGATGTGAAGGATTTACTGTAATATTTCTGGAGGTACTGATGTGTAAAATACCATGAGTTAAATATCACGATTATAATCTCCTCTCTGCAGACTCTTCTCCAACAGATGGGAAAATATCCATTAAGCTGCATTCACATGAGTCACGATTCGCTCTTAGGTTTACCTAACAGTCAAAACAGCTAGTGAAGTTTAGTTTCTATCGTTAACTCTCTTGCTATCTTGTACCGCTACACAGAGATGGCAAAAGTACACACATCCTTTACTCAAGTAGAAGTACAGATACTCGTGTTTAAAAATACTCTGGTAAAAGTAGAAGTACTGACTAAACTTCTTTGCTCAAGTAAAAGTAAAGAGGGCTTTGAAATGTACTTCAGTAAAAAGTACCCATAACTAGCAGCTGTTTTAAAGAGTACCTGACCTCCCTTTATATTAATAGAACAATAATGTCATTGTTAGCTAATGAATGTTTCCATGCTGAACAACGGCAACATGACAACGTTTTCATTGGTCCCTCTTCTTTAGAGAAGACCAGGAAATGATGGATACACGGATCGTGTTCAAATCAATAGGCACGCAATGACTCTAAATAATAATGATCACGCCACCAAACATTCAAACTAAAGGAACCAGCCTGTTTGGAAAATGTAAGAAGTAGAAAGTACAGGTATTTGGGTTCAACATGTAAGAAGTAGAAAGTACAGGTATTTGGGTTCAACATGTAAGAAGTAGAAAGTACAGGTATTTGTGTTCAACATGTAAGAAGTAGAAAGTACAGGTATTTGTGTTCAACATGTAAGAAGTCAAAGTAAAAAGTCATCAGAAAAATAAGTAGTGGAGTAAAGTACTGATACCAGAAAAATGTACTTAAGTACAGTAACGAAGTATTTGTACTCCACTGCGTCCCCCCTCTGCCGCTACATATTATCTGATTGGTTGCACATTGAGAAGTCAGTGTTAAACGAGGTCAAAGTTGAAATAGTTCTTTTGGTATGACACATTCAGTGCTGCTCTCTCTATAGAAACACATTTCTCCGTGCATCATGTGAATGCAGCTTTAGGATACATTTCTCAAGGTGTTTTATGCGAGTTGATGTACCTTCATGTATTCTGTGACTCACAGAGCGTTCACCACTGGCTCACAGCGCTGGATGTGACTGTAACAGTGTGCCTTACTGTAAACTGTCTCAAGATGTTGTCTTAACTTAGTTACTGATTTTCACCTCAGTGTGCTTTATTTTTGTTATTCTATGACCTTTTACTGATTTATCTCAACATTCAAAAGTTGTTTTAAACACTTTTGTCACAGCTTCACCTCTGCAAGACGTTACTTCGAAGATGTTACCTCAAAATAAGCACCTGACCTTTTGTTATACTAAAGTTGTTTTGGGTATGAGATGCTCAGTGGGAGTTAGAAAGCACATTTAATATCAATAGTGTTATTTTGTTGTATTTCGTTTGACTGCAGTTTCTTCTGTGCATGTGAGTTTTTACAATCTTCACTAAAGCTCTTTTCATTTGAACGTTTCATTTGAACGTCTACCCATAGACCACCCACAAATCCCCATGACCATGAGAGTCCTATAGAGTCCTTAAGAGTCCTTGTTAGTCCGTTAGAGTCCTTAAGTGTCCTTATGAGTCCGTTAGAGTCCTTCAGAGTCCGTCTTTAGAACTTTATATAACCGTATCTCTGAGTCAAACATTTCTTTAGCGGGAAATGTTTGATTTTTAGTTGGGGGGGGTGTTACAACCCTGGGTCGTTATGTCATTTGTGTGCAGATATGTTTCCCTCCTCCTGTGTCTGTGAGTGTGTGTGTGTGTGTGTGTGTGTGTGTGAGTGTGTGTGTGTGTGTGTGAGTGAGCAAGCAGAGTGCCCGTTAGCTGATTAGCTACCTTCAACATGCTGATTGGTCCACCTGAAGAAGAGGGGAGCATTGAAGCTGCAGCCATGCAGTCCCTCTGCTCTCTCTCTGACTTGACTTCTCCCACTCCCAACTCTGCGCGTGTTAATATATCTGACCTGTTGTGCTGTGTGAGTAGTTCTACCGTATACCGGTCCTTTTTGTATATTTTTGAAATCTTAGAAAGTTAAACTAAATGAACCTGTCTTCTAAGACACGCTTTGATTTGTTTAGGAGTGAGAAACCCTCTTTTTGTTTGAACCTTTTTCTCCTGTTTACTGGTAAGAGTAGGTAAGAAGTCTGTATTTGATTTGATTTGTTTTGTTAGGCAAGTTTAAGGAAACTCTGTAAAGACGTTGTTTGTTATGTTGGGGTTGTCTCACCTCTTTTTGAGTTATTAAATCTCAAAAAGCTGATTTCCTGTGTCGTTTACCATTTCTTGGGAGTGGGAAGAGTTGGGAGAGGGCAATTTGATGCTGCGCCTAGGTTCCCCTAGATCTGGGCGTAACACCTGTTAGTGAGCGATATCTAAAGCTTGGCTCTTTGAGATCGGTACTGTTATCATTGTGACTTTATCCATACAAATATGAAAATGTTTTTCTTTTGCACTGAAAACAGAGGAAGATTATTGTACAGTTATGTAAATACCATAATACAGATAGATGTTTATAGTATGAAACACTGATAGTTGTATATTTGTATCACTGGATAAATCTCATGTAAAATGTGCATTTCTAAAATGTTTGTGCATAATTGTAAATATACACTGTACTATATAAACTCTTTAATAAACCAAAACTGCAATCTAAGAGGTCACTGACTGTTATTTATATCAACTGAAAATGATAATAAACCTTTTTTTTGTAATCCTCTTCCTACTCTTTATCACTCACCATCTCAAGGTTATTTTATTCATTTTCCTATTTATTACCAAACAGTGTTTTCCAATTTGTTTTAAACAATTTAAAGGTCCCATGTCATGGCCATTTCTACTGATCATAATTCCATTGTTGAGGTCTACTAGAATAGATTTAGATTGTGCAATGTTCCAAACTCACATTGGTTTCTCATACAGCATCTCTGTATAGTATGTGTATTCACTCTCTGTCCTACACGCCTTGTTGGAGCTCCTGCCCCCCCCCCCCCTCCCTGTGAGCCCACTGTGCTCTGATTGGTCAGCTCGCCCACTCTGTTCTGATGAGTCCACCACCGTTACAGCGGAACATCAGTGATTATGTGTTACAATGGCGTTAGCAACCAGAAAATGACACCAGTAATGACAAACAGATGAGACTGCTGCGTGGGGTCTGGGTGCCGTGTTGGCGGGACGTTGCGCGGCTCGCTGCTGCAAGGAGCAGACAGTGTGAGCTGGGTTCATTTCCTGCTTGCTGCGTGGGGTCTGCGAGACAGCGAGACATCACGAATGGACGCGGGAAGGAGGGGGTGCTGAGGGGGCTGCAGCACCCCCATCTGCGAGGCTCCACTAGCACCCGCACCCCCAAACGAGGTGCACCTACAGTGTAAGCACGCCACAGTTTCGCCTCTGCGAGGCTCCACAATTGAAATCTTAACTTAGTGAAAGTACACGAGTACCATCAGTTAAATGTACCTGATGTATTTAGAGGTTTTAACTATTTAGTTAGTTTTCGAGTAGGAAATGTGAAAAAAAGTTCTGAAACAAATTTTCCAAGCTGTGGTCAAGACCCTAGTCCAAGTCAAGTTCAAAACCAGGTCCTATTGATCCAGATCGAGACTGATTCCAAGTCCTGTTCAAGACCATAACACGCAACAGTGTCTTTCCAAGGTAAATACAATAATTAAGGAGTTAAAGGGGTCCTATTATGCTAGTTTTCAGGCTCATATTTGTATGTAGTGTCTCTACTGTGACATGTCTCCATGCTTTAATGTTCAAAAAGCTCTTTATTTTTCTCGTACTGCCTGTGCTGCAGCACCTCTTTTCACCCTCTGTCTGAAACCAGAGCCGAGTCTGCTCTGATTTGTTAGACATCACATAGTGACAAAAAAAGTGATTTATAGCTGTGAAAAAATTCTGTGCAAAACAAAAGTACAACATGTCTCCTTTGAACCAACATTTAGTAGAAGTTTAAGCTGCTTAAAATGATATTAAGTATTAATATTCAAATTAAGTGCAAGTACATTCAAATTGTATTAAAGTACAATACGTAAGTCCCTTATCATCACTGTAAATCATAAAAGGATAATAACAGCTTTGGGATGGCAAACGTGTTGTTTTATTACCTTTAGTGTAAACATGCAATGCAAATGAAAGCATTCAGGCTAAAGGTATCACTGTAATGGAAAGCGGAAATTAGCACAACAAATACAAGAGCAAGGACGCTGCAGTCCCGTCAGTCTTTGAGGGACACGTGGATTTAAACTGCTGTGGCTGTAAGATGCCATGTGGCTGAAAAAGGGGGCCGACTGACCCACAGTAACAGACACATTTTCGTGTGACTTGTGGGTATGTGAACAGACAAGTGACAGATGGAAAAGTGAATGGCGGACACCTAATGACGTACAAAGGTATCGGTTAACAAAACAGCATGAGGGGTGATCAGCAGGTGTTCACTCTGTCGCCCGCAGATCACTCCCTGCCACTGGAGCAAAGTTGAAGTCTTTCCATGTGGCCAAGAGACTTCAGAATCCCCAGACGATTGAGCATGATGAATGTGTGCATCGTCATGAAGATACATATTCATGTTCCCAGAGGGTCAAAGGTCAGAGGTCACTCCAGGTGGTCCCTGGTGTTCAGCTTGCGGCCGCAGAGGCAGACGGTGCAGCCCATCACTGCGGACAGAGAGAGGATCCCCAGCAGGATGGCCCACCATTGAGCCTGCAGAGGAAGATACAAATACTGCATTTGAGTTTGGATTACTGCCAGTGGCGGCGCCAGGGTATGGCTGGGGTAGGCTACAGCCATGCCAAGAAATGGCAAATTAAATTAGATAATAAGCAAAATGCTAAATGTTGAGAACACGGCTTGCGAAAATATACGGGTCGTGTCCACAACACACAAACTGATCCTGCTGTAACAACAAGTGCACGTTACTGGTGCAATATGGTTGAGACCATTCGGGGTTATGCTAGAAGAGGGGTGCAAGGAATAGTCTAAGTAGTGGGGGAGTTTTATACACTAAAGGTGTGGAAATTCTCTGGCGTTATAATATCAGCGCGGCCGCGGTCAGATCAAAATGCCTCCGAATGCAATTTGAATAGACCTACAGCCAATCAGAAAACGTTGGGTCTGCGTCATGCATTACTGATTGAGATCAATCGGAACTGCCATTCAGTATCCCCATTGGATAAATGGGGATCACAGTGCCCCTTTACTACAAGACAAATGTGCCGTTTTATTTCATACAGTTCCATTTTGATTGAGACAGGGGAATAATCTAAACCTCACGCGTGGCGTTTCACTGTCAAGGGGGGCGATATAGCGTGTATGTAATTACATTGCAAATACTGACTTGAGCCCCACCACTGTATGGGTTAGCCCTACCATAGATTACCCAACAAAAATACTCTGGCGCCGCCACTGATTACTGCTGACTGTTTTCAGGCATTTGTCAGCTAGTCATAGACATGTTTAGCAATGGACTTAAAATATCAGCCTCCTTCATTATCTCGAAGTTGACTTTCTCACCAACAGGAAATACAACACACTGTTTAAATTGACATAAAATAAGATAAGATAAAATGGACCTCTATTAATCCCTGTGGGGGAATTCAGTAGTTTAACAGCAACAGGGTAAGAATGAAAAACAGGACAGCACAGATTCCCACAGATTGATCAAATTAAACATAAAATCAAAGGCATGGCATCGTATATTCAAAAATCGGCAAAAAAGGCCCTCTCTTTTTCTATTAAAATGCCTTTATTGTAAAGGAATTGTAGACCTAAAATGACTTTGGAACTATTGCAAATAAGGCATGGCGTTTCATCCAAAAACTGGACATCTCAACATCTCAAATCATGTCATTTGAAAAACTGCAGGATGGCCCACCAGTGAGCCTGAGGAGGATGGTACGAATATTGCATTTGAGTTTGGATTACTGTTGACAGTTTTCAGGCATTTGTCAAGCTAGTCATAGAAATGTTTTGCAATGGACTTAAAATATCAGCCTCCTTCATCAAGTTTTTCACAAACAGGAAATTCAAATTGACATGATATTGTATATTCAAACATCTGTACATAGCACTGTCTTTTTCTATCAAAATGCCTTTATTGTAAATATTCCATCTGTCACATACCTATGTATATATAATACCTTGCTTTATATCTTGTTATTGCTCATTTGTAAATTCAACATGTATATTTTCTACTTTCTTGTTTATTTCTTTCTTGTCTTTTAATTCTTATTGTACAATGCCATGTGTTTTATGCTGCTGCAACACAACAATTTCCCAAATTGGGATCAATAAAGTACTATCTTATCTTATCTTATCTTAAAGGTCACCTATCATGCTATTTGTAGGCAATAGCATAGGTCTCAGATATATAAAAATATATAAAAAACATGTCTATGAAGTGTTTTGCTCAAAATACCAAACAGATCACCCATTCTAGCCATGCCTCATATCCCTCTATTTCACTTCCTGTTTCAAAAGTGCTGATTTGGGGTATAAAGTTTTATAAAAAAGAAAAAAGGAGGGGGCTGAGCTCATGCGGGACCCGGCAGCTACTGTCTAAACTAAATACTGCCGTGATGAAACGCCATATCATGGATTATCAAGGATTATTTCTGAAACAGTATGGAGCTCAAAGGCTTTCTCTCTTGCCGGTTATACCACAAGGTGAGTTCCTTTTTATTTCCTGCTTCTTCACACACATGCTCTCCAGTACAGGTTAGCTCTGAGTGTTAGCGATGCTAATGTAAACACAGACCATATTACGTCCAAAACAGTCGGGCATTGTTTCTGATAGCAACGTTTCTGATAGGGCCGTGGGTCCACATTTCAGATATTACGTCATATCGGACGCAAATCTGGATCAGCTCCGTTGTAGCCCCGTTTTTAGAGATTTGGGTACGGAGGAAAAGAGAGAGGGTTTTATTTTCTGACGCTGCGTGAGTTCCCTGACACACCGGGGACACATATTTATGTATAAAAGACATCAAAAAGTGCATTTTGCATTATAGGTCCCCTTTAATTGTTGTCTTGTAAGACCTAAAAAGACTTTACTACCATTGCAATTAAGGCCTTTTGAAAAACTGGAACAAGATACAATTTTATAATTTACTTCTCGAAAGAATAAACCAATCTCTAAATCATTGCAGAAGTTAATTGATTTATTGATCAATTGACGAATCATTGAGGCTGTAATTAAAAAGACCAATTTGAATGCACATTAATTTCTATCAACCTTGCAAAGTTGACCCACATACAGTAAAACTGTTAAATAATAAGCAGCAAAATGAAAATGAAATTGCAACAACTTTACAATACAATTATTCGTATAAAGAGATCAATTGTATGAACCTGCTCTGTTGTGTTGTGGTCTTTTTAAGGGGGTAGAAAAACTCTTTAGGCAAAAACAGGTAGATATACTGCTTTTCAAAACTCATATAAAATATCTGTTTTTCGTTTATTTTCCCATGTAAAGCACACTTTCTACATTGAAAACTTTGCTGTATCAAAAACTCATCACATATTTTGAAATAAACCCTCCTCTACTCCCTGATTGGTTGCTTTACTTTGCAGCTCTGTACTGTATATCAGAAAGTGAGTCAGCAACATGCCGTGCTGCCATTGGTAAAACAACACAAAGGCACCTGAAGAGAGGGGTAATTTGTGTCTCCACTGAAACGGAAAAATGATCTTTGAGGCGCTCTTTAACCCAAATGGGCATTCCTGATTCTCCATGCTGTCATGAGGAACTAAACCTCAAAGGCAGCTCTACGACTGAAACATCGACGGCAGCTGAACATCAGGCAGTCAACTCTGAGCAGATCTGACCGCAACAAACATCTGCTGCGTCTTAACAAAGTACATCATTGATGTGGAAACGTGGCTGTACAGATGACCAGAAACCCATTAAAGGTCCCCTATTATACCCTTTTTCATCAATATGTTATAGGTCTCAGATATATACAAAACATGTCTCTGAAGTGTTTGGCTCCAAACACCAAACAGATCATTGCAGCATCCCATAATCCCCTCTGTTTCAGCCCTGTTTCCAAAGTGCTGATTCTCTGTCTGTTACTTTAGATGAAAATAAGGAGCCCCTCTGAGAGATATTTGGTTACAAAGAACACAATGGTGCTCTAGGAGGAGATTCAGGTGATAAAGGGGGGGGGGGGGGGTTACCTTGGTTGCTGATTGGCTAATGGTTACACAAGCCAAAACATCGTTATGATATCATAAAGTGTCCAAAATCTGATCAGCTCATTTTCAGACAGGTTTTTATATAAATGGATCAGGACAAAAAGAGAGAGAATCTTTGTTCCTGAAACTTTCAGAGTCTCTTTACACAGAGGGGACACATGGTGATGTAGAAGAGACATGAAGAAGAGGGGACACATGTTGATGAAGAAGAGACATGAAGAAGAGGGGACACATGTTGATGTAGAAGAGACATGGAGAAGAGGGGACACATGTTGATGTAGAAGAGACATGAAGAAGAGGGGACACATGTTGATGTAGAAGAGACATGAAGAAGTGGATTTTGCATAATAGGTGGCCTTTAAATCTGGTCATTTGTGTCAGTGGAGCAGTGGTTTCAGGTCTCTGTATAAGTCAATCAAAAGTGATTGAGTATAAATTCAAACCGCTTAAACTTAATTTAAGGAGAGTGGGTTGATTTAGTTTCACCAGTGGCGAACCGTCAGGGCCTTCAAGGTATTCAGAGAATACCCTGAAACACTCAGATAAAACAAACAAAAAATCGATTTAATTATATAAATGAAATGTATATAAAATGTATATAAAATGAATAAATGATAATCGTATCTGTGTTGTTGATCTGTAATATTACAGTGTTACGTTGATTTGTTTGTCCTTCTCGGTCCATGCACAACGCATTTCAGTGGTTTTGTGTTAGAAAAAAAAAGCAACCAATCAGATATTTTTCTGGGTCTCTGGGTAGAATATCCTTCAACCAAGGTATTCTATATCCTTGATAGAATGCCCTGGCCGTTGCACTGAATGAGAGCGTACGTTTGGACTGATAGTTTGATCAACCAAGCGTATTCTTTCAGAGTTCCTCTCGGTTCCAGGCTACTCTAGAAGGCCCGGTAGTTCACTGGCTCGAGACAGAGGATCTAGATGAATGCGACGAAGCAACTCATATGCCGTTTTATTGTTTTTAACGTTGAAATGGCAACAGGTGAAGAGGATGTTGTTGCGGAATTGTTGTGAGTACCCTTTTCAAGACGACAATTCAGTGAAAAGACGGACATTATAACGGTGGGGGGGGCGCGGCGGGGGGTGTGTGTGTTTCTACAGAACGTCCAGTTGTGATAGACACGGTTCGCCACTGAGTTTCACCCATTTGATGACATCCATCCTGGTTGTTCTAGATGATATTCTAATATATTATATATGTGTTACCAAACTAATCATACATACAAATGTCACCTTCATCCACTGTTGAAATACAACACACTGTTCAAATTGACATTACATCGTATCTCCATAAATCTGTCTTTTTCTATTAAAATGCCTTTATTGTAAATAATTGTAGTCTTGTTAGACCTAAAATTACTTTCCAACCATTGCAAATGAGGCTTGGTGTTTTATCCAAAAGAAATTGACATCTCAAATCATGTCATTTGAAAAACTAGAACAAGATAAAATGTAACAATTTACTTCTCGAAAGAATTAACTTAACCATTGTCAACATCATTGCAGGTGTTCATCGATTTATGGAATATTGACGAATCATTGAAGCTGTAATTAAAAAGGCCAATTTCAATGCACAGTTATTTCTATTAACTTAGGAGCATTCAGTTATTATGCTCCAAACATCTGGAACAAACTCCCAGAAACCTGCAGGTCCGCTGCAACTCTCACTACTTTTAAATCCAGGCTGAAGACTTTTCTTTTTGCCGCTGCTTTTAATTGAACTATTCACATCTTAAACTGCGCTGTAACTTTTATTCATGTATTTTTTCTTTTAATGTATATTTTTTATCTTTGCTTTTTAATGCCATTTTCTTAATGTCTTTCATTTTTGTAAAGCGCTTTGAATTGCCTTGTGTTGAAAGGTGCTATATAAATAAACTTGCCTTGCCTTGCCTTTGCATAACAAAATGATATTAACTTTACATAAAAACGTCACCTTCATCCACTCTGCTATGTCATCGAAGTCATCTAAATTGAGGAAGGAGTTTTTGAGTCGTGCGATTGGTCCATCTGCATCCAGCAGGCGACAAAAGTGGAATTTGTCGCAGTATCCTCGATTCTCGGAGCACGGAGCGCCGCCCACCAACGCCAGCGCCTTTTTCTGGAAGAGACGGGACAGCACGGAGGAGGTGGTGCTCGCACACGTCTCTGGCTTATCTGCAACAGAGAGAATACCATTAGATTTACATTTAAAGGTCACCTATTATGCAAAATCCACTTCTTCATGTCTCTTCTTCATCAACATGTGTCCCCTCTGTGTAAAGAGATTCTGAAAGTTTCAGGAACAAAGATTCTCTCACTTTTTGTCCTGATCCATTTTTATAAAAACCTGTCTGAAAATGAGCTGATCAGATTTTGGCCACTTTATGATGTCGAAACAATGTTTTGGCTTGTGTAACCATTAGCCAATCACCAACCAGGGTAACCCCTCCCCCCCATTATCACCTGAATCTCCTCCTAGAGCACCATTGTGTTATTTTTAACCAAATATCTCTCAGAGGGGCGTGGGGAGGGGCTCCTTATTTTCATCTAAAGTAACAGACAGAGAATCAGCACTTTGGAAACAGGGCTGAAACAGAGGGGATTATGGGATGCTGCAAAGATCTGTTTGGTGTTTCAGACAAACACTTCAGAGACATGTTTTGTATTTATCTGAAACCTATAATATATTGGGGTTGCCTTGGTTGGTGATTGGCTAATGGTTACACAAGCCAAAAAATCGTTATGACATCATAAAATGGCCAAAATCTGATCAGCTAATTTTCAGACAGGTTTTTATAGAAATGGATCAGGACAAAAAGAGAGAGAATCTTTTTTCCTGAAACTTTCAGAATCTCTTTACACAGAGGGGACACATGTTGATGTAGAAGAGACATGAAGAAGAGGATTTTGCATTATAGATGACCTTTAACAAACATCTCACACGCTGTACCCAAACCATCGTGTGAGATGTTGTCTCTTGTGATAGTTTTGAGGTCATCTAATGGAAAACAGTCGTGCGACCTCAGTACAGATTGACACAGGCTGACGTATTGGGACACAAGGGTAAACACATTCCTCAGTGGAGGACAGGCAGTAGTTACCGGGCTGCTGGCAGCACATGTGGCATTTCTCCTTCATGGAGTCTCCCGGACAGTCGCACTGCTGCAGGCGGTGCTTCACACACACTGACTCGGCACAGACCTGCAGAGAGGAGCAGATCATTAAGAAAAACACTTTAAACATCCCTGGTTGTCCATAAAGCGGAGGAAATTAGGTTTAACCCCATTAAAACCTTTAGAACAATCATGAAGATATAGCTTATTTGTCTAGATCAGGGGTGTCCAAACTTTTTTCACCGAGGGCCACATACAGAAAGATGTACGAAGGGCTGGGCCACTCACTAGAGGAGAGGTATATTGCCTCATAAGTTCAGTTATAAGTTAGCAAAATCAATCAAATGTAGGTAAATGATGCTTGTGAGTGTTGGCAGCTCATCCCTTAAAACAGAAGCCTCAGATTGATTATAATAAAGAGAAATATGAAGGGTGTATATCAAGCTTGTTATGTAAATAAGTCATTGGGCTTTTTTCTTATCAACTTATCAAAATGTTTCCAACTTTAATTGACTGAATTTATTTGAAAAGTGGTCTTATTAACACATATTTAAGAAGTACAATATAAGACAAGCACAAGTTTCATTTTTGGGCCATATTCCATTATAGTTTTTTAATTTGCTGAGGGCCGATTCAAAATGGTCCGCGGGCCGCATTTGGCCCCCGGGCCGTAGTTTGGACACACCTGGTCTAGATGATACACCAATCTAATATCAGGCTCTTGAAATGTCTTGTGATACAGAGAGCCAGGTAACCACATTATTATAATAAAGTCACATATCAGTGCAGAATGCAGATATGATATTCTCTCTGGTAAACTAAACAACAAGGGAAAGTTTTGAGAGCCTTTTGTCATGAATGAAAACCCATTGATACCTTGAATAGTGGATCAAAAACATGGAACATACAAATGTGTGGTGGTCCCTTATTCTTTGATACTTGTTGTCATTTCCCTTTTCCTAATTCCTTTTAGCTAAATGTGACGATTCCCTCTGATTGATTGGAGGGTATTCAGCTCACCTGATGGTCCCTAATTAGCCATTGAGTGCCACTTGGTGCATTTTGGCCAATCAGTGAGTGACAACACCTCCTCAGGGCTTAAGAGGTAGAGAATTGAACACACAGGGGCATTATGATCTGTCCTTTACTTGATGTTCACCTGATTTAAGCAGATTCAGATAGAAACTCTGGTTTTCAGGCCATTTTTTTTGTTTTTTTAATGAACTTTTCTGATTGATGGTGCATTCTGAAACCAAGCTGGAGTGAATATTACAAAATATGATTACAAAAGTGGATCAGGGCAACAACAGTTATGATTGCCTAACAATAACCTTTCACTACCAGGCTTTTAAAGAGGCCCCATTCTGCTTGTTGGGGTTTCCCTTCCCTGTAGTGTGTTGGTTTTAGTGCATGTAAATGGTCTGCAAAGGCTATAATCCCACACTTTTGATTTTTCTTCCTTCACATAATGACATTACTATGTAACAAAACCCCATTCATAGACATTTTCTTGATGTAGAAAATCATGTATTTATTTTAAATGAACATGAAATATGTTTCCTGAGGTTAAATGTGTGTTTACTTATTTTGCATTTCACTATAAACTGTTTTTATTAATTTTTTAACCCAGACTTTGGGACACATTCTAGACACTAGTACAGTATACATTTTAAACCCATGTGGCTTTAAACATTTCATTTTTCTTCAAAGCATGAAAACATACATCTTGTCTGAGAGGTTTTGAAGAAGTGACCAAAAATGTAACTCTTGTTTATTTGTAAGGGATCAGACTCCCTGTTTTCTCGGAAGGATTTGAGCGTTCAGCTGAATGGGAGTCATTTGAAATAATTTATGATTAGCTTGAACACTTTTGGATCCTTTTCAACATGTTCCCAGATATGTCCCACACCTCGGGAGAGTCATATTTTCAGAACAACATCCACATCTGGGATAAATTCCTCTCCTCTCCTGCACTGAATAGTGTTTCATCACAGGGCATTTAACAATTACGAAAATATGGTCAAGTCACAAACTGTTCTCCAGAGGCCACATCGATCTTTTCTTAGTAACGCTGTGTTGAAATGTTCACAAATAAATGGGATTCTGAGCACACGGATTAGACGGAGAAACATCTGGATGAATCAGGAGGATTTATGACGTCATGTTATTTGATTTATGAACAATAAACACTTCAGTTTAGCTGAATAACAATACCAGATAAACAAGAGTCTGGAGCTTTTTTATGCAATAGATATTTTTGAAGCAAAGAGTACCATAATAAGCCAAGGGTAGGCTTGTAGTCGTCATTAAAAGTCACTTTATATGAACCTAAATGCAGTGTTTTATTGCCTTTTTGTTGAAAATGTAATGTCCACCTCTGACTATACACAGGATCAGTGATTGGTTCTGAGGTGTGTACTGTTACAGCTGCTGTTAACATTGCTCTTGCACTACAAATCATACTTAACATGACTGCAAAACTTCTGTGAGTGCAGGCGATTCAACTTGGAATTGACTACTACTGTTCCCGGCAGCCATCTTTTCCATTGATTTCTGACACAGTTGTTTTATGATAATGAAGTTAAACAGTTACACACAAATTGAAAATTAAAGCATCACTACATTACAATGTGGTTAATGACAAAATCTGAAATATGTTTTACTTTAATTGTGGCATATTATAATTGTTAGTAGCGGGAGTGTCTACCAACCTTTATATGAGAATATGCCCCCCCACCCAATTCTTTCATTTGAATGTCTCTATACAGGTTTTGAGATCTACCTTTTAAAGCTTATCAGAGCTTGGCTTTTTTGGGAAGGGTGATTTAAGAGACAGGCGCAACAATGGAGCCTTGCAGACAGAGGTACATTGAGATAGACAGTGTAAGAAAAACATTTGGTAACATTACAGCATGAATACCTGTTCTAGTACAAGCCCAACATTCTATTATGAACCTAAAATGAGCAAAATATGTTAATGCTACAAAATGGATATTTAAAAACATCCCAGATATTAAAACTGCATCAAAGCAACTAAATGGACCTTATACAGGAGGCGTGTGGCGCAGTGGGTTAGTGCGTAGGTGTTCGTATCAGGGGGTCACAGGTTCAAACCCCACTGCAGTCAGCATTTCGTTGTGTCCCTGAGACACTTCACCCCAAATTGCTCCTGTGGGGATTGTCCACAGTATTGAGTATGTAAGTCGCTTTGGATAAAAGCGTGACATGTCATGTAATAATGTAAAATTGTTTCCAGGGTCAAAAATAAAACTAGCATGGATAATGCTTTCTTTTTAGGACTAGCATTGCTGCTCTTGCACACTTTAGCTGATTAGGCAATGTAGTTGAAGCTATTTAGATGTAGTGTGTGTTCATGCCTCACCCACCCCGTTCACACACACTCTGGTGCCCTCGCTGCACACGGTGAGGTTCTCCTTGCTGCTGGGCTCGGGGCAGAACGGGGAGAGACCCGAACACAGAGCGTCTTTCTGACAGTCTGTCTCCTCGTCACAGGTCTGACCCTCAGGCCTCAGCTCACAGTCCTGACCGCAGCACAGGCCCTGACTCGGGCTGGAAGCACAAAAATGTCCCAAATATCTTATCTTATCTTATCACACACAACAAGTCCAGGGGGGAGATGAAGCCACATAAAAGCATAACAACTACAAGACTCAACATCAACTGAATAGTTTAGGTGAATGTGGTGTGCCACTTAGATTAAAAGTGATGTAAGTGAGAAATAACTACAACCTACGTCAATATACTGTAAGTGTTAGAACAAGTCTACATGCACCCTATCCTTGTGATACACCCAGTGTCAGACAGTAACCAAGTAGGGGAGTATAATCAGAGCTGAAACGCCTCCATTGGACTCCTTTGTTCACCTCCGTAACATAATGACATCACTGTGTAACACTCACTCTTCTATTGGCTAGCGCTCCAACACATTGTACGTGATAGGCTAAGGGGCGGGACGTCTCTAAGTGGTTGATCAATCACAACAGAGCCGGCCAGCTAACCAATCAGAGCAGACTGGGCTCTGGTTTCAGACAGAGGGTGAAAAGGCAGTATGAGAAAAAATAAAGAGCTTTTTGAACATTAAAGCATGGAGACACGTCAGAGTAGAGACACTACATACTGATATGAACCTGAAGTACTTTGTCCACCACTCCCTACACCTAAACTAATACAAATTGTACTAATAAATGTCTAAATTCCCCTTCTTGGAGCACACCCTGCTGTACCTGCAGACCCTCCCCTTCTTCAGGCGGCACTGCACCCCCGCAGGCTGTTTGGCGCTGAAGCAGCAGAGGTCTGTGTCGTTGTGACCGACATCACACTCCTCGCCTTCCTCCACAATCTGGTTTCCACAGATGGGCTGATCACTGACTGGCCACGAAGAACACACGTGCAGATAAACACACACAAGTAAACACACAAACTAGTTGTAATTATTTACAGTGAGTGAGGCACGGTGTAAATATTTAGCCTCTCACTCAGCATGCAACATGCAGGTGGACACCGTCTGATGTGTTTCCTCCCATCCTCACCCACGAAGCAGTCGTCCTTCTTCAGCTTCAGGACCTTGGCGATGTGTTTGACGCTGCAGGGCGAGAACTTCTCGTTGTTTTCACGCAGCTCGTCTGTGGCGTGAGGGAACATCAGGAACCGGCCTTTACCGCCGCTGGAGCCCAGGTTACCGCAGTTTGAGCCCTCATCGTGCTGAAAGACACACACAAATATGTATATTTTCTACTTTCTTGTTTATTTATATAGTCTTTTAATTACATGCCAATGCCATGTCTTTGTAAACACAACAATATCCCAAATTGAGGTCAATAAAGTACTTCTTATATACTTATCTTATCTTAAAATAAAATGTGTTTACCTTCTAGTGTATTTTATTTTCAATGCCGCAAAATAAAGGCGTTTAAGTTTGAGCTATCTGTTAAGGAACAGGATTGCTTTACAGAAGGACCCTCATGAGTTTCATCTGAATATCCAGTAATTACATAACACATCGTGGCACTCTTTCTGAATGTTAGTTCTTGCTTTATAATGTGTAAGATGATTGTTAATACCTTAATTTATGTGCAAAATAATTGTTTTATGATACGTCAGAGCTCTGTCTCTCTCATGTATTTTAGTGTCTCATACAAATGGGCCTACAATGTACCTTTAAATGATTTTTCATGATATATTATTTATCTAATCACTCAACAAATGTACGTTTTTGGGTAATTTAATAAATAGTCAGCCAAAAGACAAAAACAGCAGGGTGGGGGAAATATACAATTAATTTGTAATACACTGCTTTATATATTTTAATATACATATTTGTTCAGATGTATTGTTGTTATGTATTGTAATACACTGTTCACATTTTTACTTAAATTCTCTATATTTATAAAAATATTTGCATTTTATTTTATTTTATTTAAAGGTGGGGTAGGTAAGTTTGAGAAACCGGCTCGAGATACACTTTTTGTTATATTCCATGGAATGCTCTTAACATCCCGATAGCAATGAATATCTTAAGTGCTTTGACAAAAAATCCATACAAAAATGTCATCTGTGGAAGCCGTAGTACTGTAAAAAGTACGACCAATCATCCCGGCTAAAATGATTGGATGGCCTACCTGCCTGTCAGCCTTCCATCTGTGCACAAACTTATCTCGTGCCCTCATTGGTCATGTGCGCGTTCGTGTGTGTTGGAGGAGGGGCTCTGTAAGGAAGTGGCAGATTTTCTCCGGTTGTGTATTTTCAAATTCTAGCGATCTCGAGCCGGTTTCTCAAACTTACCTACCCCACCTTTAAGTTTATTTTATTTAACATGAAAAGTAGCACCTCTTATGAAATCAAATGTTCCCTCTGGTATAGATAAAGGTATTCTGATTCTAATTCTGTTCATCATAACCAGAACAAATACAAATGTTTTCTTTGAAGCCCAATGACAACCATTTGTTAGGGAATAATTTGCTTAGGTATTCAACCTTCGACCCAGGTCATCGTTTTCTCTTCTCACTGTCTCTTTTCCCATGGCATAGTTCTACGGCCTTGGGTATTGCTGCTATCTCTCTTAAGGAGGGGCAGCTTGAGCGCATTGTTGTTGCCAGTCTATGACCGAGCACAAGCCGCCATGAGGTAGTTTACTGTTCAGGGACGAAGGTTCCCTGGCGCATATTCTTTCCTATGAACGAGAGCTCTAGTTAGATTCAGGGTCCATTTTTGTTTAGTCTCACTGATGAAGAATGTTGATTATTACACTCCGAACTAGTTAAAACCTCGAGCTACAGAAGAGTTCTTCAGAATTGGTTGGCAACCGCTGTGTCAACTCGTGACACACCACCTGTCTCGTCAATTGTCCGGCAAATAAACCATCAGTGTTTGCCATCAAAGCTCCAGCTCTCCTCGTGTCTCTTTGAGTCCTGACTCCAATTGCTTCAGAAGTTTCCCCCACAATTTGACAAGCCCTCTCTGAAAGAATTTTCTATGATTTTGAAAGTTATTTTTGTTGAGTAAATGTATGCTGTCTGCAGTCAAAAGGTTTCCCTGGAGTCTGACGGCCATGAAGCAGCGGAGGAATGTCAGGTTCCACATGCAGGACAACGAGGACCAAATAAAAACCTGCTCATGAGACGGATTTAAACATTTTCCTTGAGACTTTGTGACTCAACAGTAACATGGACACATGTGGAGGGAACATGAGGTTGAGGCCATATTTCTGCATCTGTTTTAAATAAGTTTGATGGATGTAATTTATAGTGTGTTGCTGTGTGTAGCTCTGAGGTTAACATAACTACATGTCACAGCAGATGGTGGTGCAGTTTCAAAAGAAAAAGCACATTTATTCTTGTTTTTATTGTTATTTGTTAGTATGATTTGGTGTCACGCAGGGATTTAGATTTACGGCTGCAGACATAACGAAAACGGAAACTGTGAAAAGCAGCAGGAGAAAATTATGAACAGCACGTATGGGTGTTTATCACAACTATATTCTGACAGATTTACAGCTCTTCCTGTTTACTTCTTGAACACTTGTCGTGGTTTTACAGATTCTGTTACAACATAAACACGATCTAGGTGCAGCTTTAAGATGAAACCCATTAACAGAAATGTTGCAGCTGTAAAGTTTTTTGGTTTTGGTGGATAACAAGTTAAATCTTCTCCTAATCTGATGTTGTTGCTTTTAATAATTAGATGGGTAGCTGTGAATTCAATTATATAATATTAGGGCTGTCACGCAAAAAAAAATTAACGCCACTAATTATTTTAACGCGATTAACGCATGTGTATTTTTTGTCCTCGGCCGCCGTAGTTTCAGAGCGCATCGAGTTTAAAATACCATCTACAAGCTGATGCTGACAGCCCCGCTCCTGCCGCCCGCTTGTGGCAGACCACACTTCCACGCTCACCGGCAGGCCCGGACTGGCCATCGGGAGGACCGGGATGGTGTGTGTATGTGTGGCGCGACTCGCGAGCGAGGCACACCTTACATGTTGTTGTTGTTGTTGTTGTTGTTAGCATCTGGTGCTAGCTAGCTGCGCTAACGGATATAAGGCGCTGTTTCAATGACATTTCGCCGACAACTGCGCCGAGCACTTGACTTTATGCAGGTAGCCAGACAGTGGGACATTGTACGAAAAGTCAGCACACTCAACATGCAACATGATTGCAGCTCCCGTTCAAGCATATATGCCTTGAGCCGCACATAGCTCCAGCGATCCATCACAGTGTCTCCACACACACACACACACACACACACACACACACACACACACACACACACACACACACACACACACACACACACACACACACACACACACACACACACACACACACACACACACACACACACACACACACAAGAATATTTGTCATTGTTCAAATGATAATAAACAAACATATAAAGCATATTTGTCCACTCATATGTTGATAAGAGTATTCAAAACTTGAAAAATATCCCTCTAAGGTACATTTAGAACAGATACAAAATGTGCGATTAATCACGATTAACTATGGACAATCATGCGATTAATCGCGATTAAATATTTTAATCGACTGACAGCCCTATATAATATGTGTTGTGTTCATTGGTATGGATGGATGCCAATGGCTGGATTAAGAAGTCAGAAATCATTTAGAGATTTTGTATTTAATGGTATGTTCGTTATTCTGTTGGATTTAGATGCTGGGTGTAGCTTGCCCTGTAGAATGGTGCTGGGATTAAGTATTATTGTAGGCCGATTAAAAAAGTTAAAATAGCAGCGGTTCCCTCAACAAAATCCAATATGATTTTTACATTAGGTTTTGGATCTGTGGAAAACAACATGTTGTGATGCTTACACGATATGTTCAGCAACATGATCTTTTCAAATGAGGAAGCTTTTCTGATTTGATGAAGCTTAAATTAACTCCTTTCGGGGTAAACTCTAACAATTTGCTCTGAACAAAACAATTGCAACGTGTAAATGACTTCGCCTCATCAACACTAAGCTAAAGGCCATTTGTATTTGGCGTAATGACATTTAGTTTAGTCTCACTGAGCCACTTTTTAGCAACCACCTTTTGAAGACACATATAACGCTCAAAATGTTAACTGCACTTTAGAATCTTTTAAGCTTGTGTTAAAACAGAAGGAATCAGGAAGTGTAGCATTGCTCTAGCTCATTTCCAGGCTTTAAGCATGGATGTATAAAGAGAACTGCATGTAGTGTCGGAGGCAGGCCCCTCTATGAGAGTTGCTTGGTGGCAAATAAAGCAAAAATGGACCGACTGTAGAAACAAAAAGAACAACAAACAAAAGAATATTTGCTTAAATGTCCGACACACTTCCTGGGGCTGTGTTTTTGGACTGGGGAGCAGTTGGCAGCATGTGGTCAGGTCAGGGTCGGCTCTAGAACAAATCTAATGGGGGGGAAATCATTTACCACGGGGAGGCACACACTGCCGTCAACAACCAACACACAAACACCAACGTAACTTCAATTAAAAAAAACATGCTGTAAAGTCTATTGTCTTCCACACACATTGCAGGGGTGTAGTGCTATTGTATAGCGCACCTATGACTTGTGCATACATGCACGGTTGTGGCACGACCACCAAAACAGAAACATATGGACATAGGCCACCATATAAAAAGTGTGCAAATGTATTTAGTATCCTATCCATGTGAACATGTTTTAGGTGGGGGGTGGACCTAACCTCCTCTAGGGGGGTTAGGGGGCATGCTCCCCCGGGAAGATTTGTTTTTAAATATTGAAGTTTAAAGCATCAATCTGGTGCACTTTGAAAGCAAAATTAAGAGATCTATGGATACCTCTCTCAACACCCATATGAAGCAGAACTGTAAGCAGATTCACTTTTTCTTTATGGATATTTTACTAATCACTCCCCTTTTAAACTGTATTCTTGTTTTACTGTCCTATAGTATTTCATACCTGTTTTTCATTTATTCTCTTATTTTTGAATAACTATAATGATCATATAAAGGTGTTCCTCGCAAATACTTGTTTACATAAATGGTGACCAAACCGTTTGAGACCCACTGAGATAACTTAGACTAAGGTTAACTATCTAAACACTGAGAGAGTCCTTTAGCTCACTGAGCTGACGTTATAAGATCCTCTCAGTCTGACAGGAGAGGACTCTCCTCCACCTTGGTGTAGAAACAGCTCTTTATATCCGTTAGCATAGCTAGCTAACCAGATGCTAACAACAACATTCCACGTTACCGCTCGCACACTCACAAAATGCGCTCGTGCCACACACACAGAGCCGAGCTTGAATGAAACACAGAGACCCAGAAGTACTGCATATCATATTATTTTCGATGGCTTTATAATCAGTATAACAGATGAACAGATCGCCACTGGGCTTTCATCTAAACACACAGCCACGTAATGATAACAAAACAAAGGTCAGGGGTCATTGGTCAAGCAACACACCAATCAGAGAGCAGCAGCACACCTCAGGCTGTGTTTTATATTTGTATTCTTTATTTCTGATTTATTTCACACAAAAAACTTTTAGTGGAAACGTTTTCACTTATATGATTAAAAAAAAAACGGCAAAGTGGCAAGGCTTGCCCGCCCTGCGTTGGGGGGGCACAGTGACTCATTTGGGGCGGCATGGCCTGAGAATGACCCCCCATGACGCCGACCCTGGGTCAGGTTGTAGCTTTCTTTTGTTTGTTGTTCTTTTCCCTCAGTTTGATTTAGTTTTATCGTTCCTGGGTTTATTTTCTTGCCCTTTAGTTCAGTAAATATTTGGTTAATAAATGCCAACTTTTTTTGTCACTACTCCGGTTTTGACCTGGTCATTCCTAATCCATTTTGGGACTTTCCGGTGCTAAACCACCACATCTTCCCTTTGAATGTGGCAGCAGCACAACTACGATATTTTTCAATGAATTTTTCATCTGTGCATGAAATTGCACACAGCTTTTGAAACCACCGTATGCACGTGTGTTCGCAAGGGAAGTGGACAAAAGACCAAAGCAGCTCTCCACCCAGAAGTCACTTTGCATCACAGCCCCCTCTTTCTTTCCTTCATCGTATATCAGGTATAGCCCGCGCTCATATCTCACCATGTGCTTCATCTAGCCTTCCCAATCTGGAAACAATGAGACATGCCTGTCACAGGAGCCCTGGCACCAGCATGACGGTAGTTGAACTTGTAAAAAGCCTGCAGGGTCTGACATAGCAGAACTAATGGGCTCAAGAGCGCCTCTTTGGTCTGTGGAAGTGTGAACAACGGAGGGCAGGGTGAAAAATACTGCGAGCATTTTGGGCAGTGGGCGAAAGGTTGCAGGTGTTAGCAGCCAACACACGTGGAGAGAGGTGCATGCATGTGTGTGTTTACAGACACTGTGGGTTGTTATGGCGGAGGAGGTTGTAAATGCAAATACACAGAAAAAAACTGCTGAGAGAGAAATTCTCCTGATCTGTTAATTCCGATCATCTAGTCAAGCTGAGCCAAGAGTCGTTATGAAACAAACCAGTCAATACAGGCCAAGGTCTATAATGCCCACATAAGTAAATCATTCACAGACAATTTGTTGCGGTGCAGAGCAAACACCCATGTGTGCATTCTGGGAATATGTGAGGTAAATCTAAATCTTGAATTACATGGATTCCTCATGTTGAATTGTCATTCAGTACGCAACCCACGCAGCTTTATGTTCAATAAGAAACGGGTGAACTCTCTGTTCTCTGGGGCACTTAGAAGGGTTGAGACTAAAACTGGCAAGAGTTTAACAAACATCTGAAATACTACACTGAGGGTTTGCTATGCTTAAACCTTTTACACAGACAAGTGTAACACATTCGATTTAAAGCTAGCTCCACCTAATGTGGGCGCCTAGTGAGCAAATAAACAAGCTCTGCTTCCTGCACCTGGGACATGTTTTAAGTTTCAATGCAGCCATTGTTGATGTTATTATTAAGACCTGAGAATATCTTGTATTTAATGTGAAAAAGCACAAGAAGCATAAAAAGCCATTGGCCTGCAGTAGCACCTAAGACATCCAAAAATAGAAAAAACACAAGTTTTGCTTTTGTTATTTTATCACTAGGGGTACAGAAGTGAGTATATCACTAACCAAAAAGAGAATCCACCCTTAAACAGGGAACGATTTGTCTACACTTGTCTCTGTAAACTCCCCATCTGAGCTTTAACTCATGACATCACAGCGTTTTTGCGTTTAAGTTTCACACACTTAACGCATTACAACCCTGATGTTATCTAGGCATTAATCGGAAGAGCTGTACGTGAGAACAAATGTTCATTTATTCGGACTGTAAACGGATTCTCCCTGCTGTAGAGTCTGGTCTGTGCATTCACGGTGAGTTACTGGGCGTATTAAGGAAGACGTTTTTATTGCGGCTGGCACAAAAGTGGAAAAAAAAACTAAACATTGTTCATGCACATGTGATGAAAATGGGCGATATACACAAAGACGGGCATACAAATATCTAACAGGAGAGATTTTTGGCGCTGAAGCAGAGGTTTTCGGGGTCAACGGCAAAACTTGAAGACATATTCAAGGAGGCGGCAATGGACTTGTTGTTTTTGACCAAATTACGAACCAGCTATGTGACCTCAGTGTAATACGCGCAATATCCAGCCTCCTGCACGCTGTACCCAGACTCCACCCTTCACCATAACTGAAAATTGAGTACTGCCAGTAGTAGAGCCATGGTCAGCTGGAATTATTTACCGGTCCATATCATTCAGGAAAATTCTCAAGTATATTTCAAAAGGTTGCAAACAAATTATCTCAGTATTATAAACTCAAATTGAACTGTGCCTGTGGATATGTATGTATTATTATGTACACTTTTTTGACGAAAATTGGATGACCATTTTAGTTATAGCACTAGTGTAACTTGCATGAAATGATGAGCTGTTTTGTTTTGTTTTATGTATGTTTATGTATGTTTTGTGTGTGTGAGGACCCCAGGAAGAATAGCCAATGGTCATACTAGTGCTAATGGGGATCCTAATAAAGAATATGAATAAGAATTGAGATTCTTATTCGAGATCGTGTCTGACAATGACATATCTACTGCTGTCCGCTACATCTGTGAACGGGCATATGAGAAAAACGGCTAATTTTGTAATATTACATGCACATACTAACTATCTTTAAAATTAGTCATCAGTGGAATGTCATGGTATGAATGTTGCACAATATTCACTGTAACCAACCTTGGTCAGTACAAGGCACTTTAAAAAACCTAGTCTCTTCTTGGTATCAGAAAGATGTTTTTAGTATTGTTTAGCTTTTGGAGAAGGCGACTGACCGGAGATCCCAGGCTGTGACCGAGCTCATGAGCGAAGGTCTGCTGGACGTGTCGTGGAGGCAGAAACTGTCCGTAGTTCTGAATGGTGACCAGACCGGCGTTCAGGGTGGATTTCCTGCCGTTACGCAGGGTGGTCTGCTGCGAACATATTCCTCCCCAGTTACCTGAAGGGCACACAGATGAGAGGAAAAACATGAGATTAGTTTCCACTGAAGTCCAAAAGAGTAAATGACAGTTAAAGTGAGTATTACAAAACATAAAAGCAGAGTTTGTCTTCCGATGTCTCTTGCTTGCATAATAGCATGCTTCAAGAATTCAACAGAGTTATAAAATCGGAAAATTGCACTTCTCGTTCCCCGTTCAAAGTCAACAGGTTTTAATGAATACACTTTTAGTCAAATGCATGAAATATCAGACCCTAGGATATGTTAAAATGTGGTTTTGCTACAGAAAATACGTCAAGGAATATCATTTGGAAACTTGAAGTGTGAAAAAAGATGGTTGCTAACAATTGGCTAAATGAGACCTTAGCCACATTTAGCTTAGCGATGGTGACTTTTTAGTACTGCCAATTGCACTAAAAAGTCAAAAAGGTGATGGTTATCCCAACAATTAAAACATGTTAGTATCAAAAACGTAAACCAGTGTCTTCTGTAAGAATCCAACATGGCTTTTTGAAAGGAAACCATTGCAATGCTAGCTTCATGGTCAGCCTTCAACCCTGCAGCACTTTATAATTGTTTAAGGTACCGCAAAGTTAAGAACAGACATAGCACTATAAGAAGGTTTTGATGAAGCTGACAGCTCAAGGATGCTTTAAATAATCCCACCTGCGTCAATTCTCTGGAACGGACCTAGTGAAATCAAACCTACTGTGCCTGTCACTTTGCACTACAGTATGATTGCATAACTGACCTTGCGCTACTATAAATATCTTAAAGTTTTAACCAACACTGTGTTGCTACTGAAGTGTTATCACCCTCTGAGGCCCGGTTGGGGGGGTGCGGACAGACAGACCTGCTGAGCTCCTCCAGCTTCACTTCAAAGACATTTGGCCTCCAATGGTCTCAATCTGAGCGTTACCTAATATCCCTTTCCCACAATTACTAGCAGCTGGCCATGTTCACATGGATGAACGGCTGCGGTGTGACATCATGTTTTGCTTTGAGAGAAACAAATCCAATTGGTCAAACTGGACAATTATGATAAGACACTACTCGTGTAATTTGAGTAAAATGGTCAGACTTGACTTCAGATTGTTCAACAAGGTCATTCATGACTTCTCACATCTAAAGGGGTCAATCTTTCTATTTTTACAACCCATAATACCCTGTGAGAAACTTTATGAGTTAACCTACCATAATCGCTGCTGCAACGCAAACATTTCTTAAATTGGGATCAATAAAGTACCTACCTACCTACCTACCTACCTACCTACCTACCTACCTACCTACCTACCTACCTACCTACCTACCTACCTACCTACCTACCTACCTACCTACCTACCTACCTACCTACCAACCTACCTACCTATCTATCAGCTTCATATTTAACAAACAGTTGCCTGTGTAAGCAAACCCTCAACATTGTGCATTTGTAGATTTGTGCATCAACTACGTGCATCTTTCCTCATTGCTCTGTTCCCACACAGTAAACGGTATCTGTACAATATTGACAGCATCAAGCTGTAGTACAAACAAAAGTCATGTATAACCTATTTAGAACTGTCGGGGATGTTAACAGTGTTCCTGGGCTGAGGCCAAAGGAAAGGTAATCCTAGTATGGTGTGACTTTTGAAGGAGAGGGAGTAGAGATTAGGACTGAAGTAGAGGGGAAGGTATGAAGAAGGAGAAGAAGAGGAGGGAGAGGAACGGGTAGCTACAGTCAGGGGTGGTAGAAGTATTAAGATGTCTTTCCCAGAGATAGCAAAAGTACACACATCCTTTACTCAAGTAGAAGTACAGATACTCGTGTTTAAAAAATACTCTGGTAAAAGTAGAAGTACTGACTAAACTTCTTTACTCAAGTAAAAGTAAAGAAGTAGGGGCTTTGAAATGTACCGATAACTAGCAGCTGTTTTAAAGAGTACCTGACCTCCCTTTATATTAATAGAACAATAATGTCATTGTTAGCTAATGAATGTTTCCATGCTGAACAACGGCAACATGACAACGTTTTCATTGGTCCCTCTTCTTTAGAGAAGACCAGGAAATGATGGATACACGGATCGTGTTCAAATCAATAGGCACGCAATGACTCTAAATAATAATGATCACGCCACCAAACACACATTCAAACTAAAGGAAC